GCAAGACAACCAGGCAAAAATAAGTGAAGATTAATTTAGATTCGAAACAATTTTAGACATATTGAGATTTAGTAGGTTTTGAAAGTGTGGTAATTGTGCAATTTTACAGAGCTCATTTTCCAGGAGAAATTTATCAAAAATGTTCTGCCAAGCCTATATATATATATATAATAGTAATAATATATAAATATATATAACTATATATATGTATAAGGCAAAACATAATGTATTGATATACCTGTCACTTCACTTGAGAGTGCGGGTTGAAAGGATTTCTAATTGGCCTTGGACTCTTGTCTGTTGAATTGTGCGAAGAAGACTTCGGCTCACTGTCCTTTGACCCCGATGACTCCGTGCTGAGCTTTAGTCTGTCATGTGAAGAACATCGATAGAGCCAAAAACCATCATTCACGAATAATCACACAAAAACACTACGTTAAGAGAGTTCGCCGCCTGAGATCCTACTTACTTCTTATACCTCACTTTGAGATCTTATTGTGGCATTCCGTGATTTGATACTACCCTTCCTACATCACTTTCACTCACATACATGCACGTAGGACAAGCGTAAAGCAGCCAAACAAACCATTAAATGCTTCATTAAGGTCGCAAAGTGGGGTATAAGAAGTAAGTAGAATCTCAAATGGCCAACACCTGGCGTAGCGTTTTGTGATTATTCGTGAATAATGGTTTCTGGCTCTAACGATATTCGTCACATGGAGGACGAAAGCTCAGCACCGAGTAATCGTGGTCATAGGACGATGAGCCTAGGTCTTCTTCGCACAATTCAACAGAAAAAAGTCCAAAGCCAATTAGAAATACTATCCACCCGCACTCTCAAGTTAAATGTCATTATCTTTTACCTTATACATATATATGGGCTTGGCAGAATATTTTTGATAACTTTCTCCTGGAAAATAAGCTCTGTTTAATTGCACAAGGACCATACTTTCAAAAGCTACTTAATCTCAATATGTCTAAAATTGTTTCGAATCTAAATTAGTCTTCGCTTATATTCGCCTAGTTGTCTTGTACTTATTAATAGACATACAACTTTTAAATGACATTTACATTAGAGTGATAACTGTGATTTCTTGTCTTTGGAATACATATTGTTATTATACTACAAGTTTTTCACAATCCTCTCCTGCTACTTCTATACATTCCAAGGATAATTGGATAAAAAGATTATTGAAGATAATTAACTTATGCACTTTTCCTGTCATGTATAGATATATGTTTAGTAACTTTGCCAAGTTTTTGTACAGCTTCGGATTTTGAGAAGTTATTTCGTAATTTCGCTGAACTTCTTGTTTCATATCAAACATTCAGAGCAAGGCATTGCTAAATTTGCCTTATTGAAATCTGTAGGTTGGTTAAACTGGAGTTGTGACTATGTACCCTGATGAATCTTTGCTGAGTTTTGGTCTTACCCACCTTGACATGCATATTCTTTAACAGGCAGCATCAAGCCCTAAGCATTCAAAAATAAAGAACAATTATACGAAACTAATGAGAATTTACTTTGAAACTTATTTTTTCATTATTCTATGAACTCCCTAAGGCTTTGCGCATGTCTCTAAAGCAATCTTTTTACTTGATGCATACCCATGTCATTCCAGGTAAGCTAATAATCATTCCTGCTGTTTGACTAGTTTGCTTATGATGATTTCTGGTGGTAAATTGAGTTTATAATACCATTTGTTCTAATATATAAAACTAATTATTCTCATTCTCTATAATCACAACTTTATGCTATTTAGTGAATCTCAGATTTTGAATGCCTTTTTATTCTTAACACTTTTGACATACATTTAAGTTGTCTTATTTGAGTGGCAAGATTTGTATACTTTATCTTCTTCTGATACGCCTGCCAGGGGAAGGTTAGCGTGTCTACATTTCGCTTTATTGTGAAGAATAGCTTGTTCATGAAGTGTTTTTTTGATATTTTAGGCTCTGCTCTTTCTATGCCCGTTTTATTCTTCTATTCTGTCCCTTCCTTATTCACACTGCCCAACAGACTTCGAGCTTTCCGCATTTTGCGACCATCCCTTAATCCTCTGAGACACGGAGGCTCGGTGCCTAGTGTGGAAGAATGTACCTGTCCACCCGGACACACAGGAACATCGTGCGAACGTTGCATTACAGGCTTTTGGCGTGACCCTTCGGCCCCGGCGATTGCTTCCAACGACGGGACAGTTTCTACTCAGTCTGGAACAGGATATCAGACCTGGCAATCTACTGCAATCTACAGACGTGCTTGCGTGGCATGCAACTGCTATGGACATTCAGGCCATTGTTACGAGAGGACTGGAAAGTGTCTGGTAGGTGAGACGGTACAGTAATTGCTGGCTTAACCATGAATTTGTGTATAACATGGATGCTTTCATCTTCATATTTTACATAAAGAATAGCCTATTCGGCGATTCGCTTAGCCACCTTTAGAATTTCCTTCTGGCTTACTGAATATTAAACTTGCTAGTTGAGGCACAGCTTTTTTGCGCATTTTTATAATGCGTTATGTTTACACGATTTCGTTTAAGATGATGAAGCATTGGTAGTAGAATTTTCCCACAATGATATGAGTAGAGATGACGCTTCCATTGAATTTCACACAACTTTGCTTTCTAAAAAGGACTAAAGTTTCTCACTCACCTAGTTCTTATCAACATTCCGAGCAGGAGTCGAATCCTGATGATGTAGTGTGTGGGAAAGCAAGTATATGTGAAATTTAATGGTAACGTCATCTCTAGTCATATCATTGTGAGAAAATTCAGCTACCACTCTTTCATCACCTTAAACGAAATCGGGTTAACACAATTCAGATCCAATATATTGGTAGTCTCGAAGACCTACTCAAAAGCGAAATTTTTTTTTCAGATTAAACTAACTTTAAGGGTATTTTTATTCTTAATTTTATCATCTAAAGTTCCCCATTTTTCTCTAATTTTTACTCTAGTCATTGCAGTATTAGGGTATCCCTTAATGCAGTTGTAATATTCTAGATTGATCCTATCACTTTATATTTAAATAAATGGGAAAGTGCACTTCGGAAGGCCGTTACTTTAATCATCATTTCGGCTTCCATAAAATAACCAAATTATTGATATGTTGTAAACTCATATTTACTTAGCACCGTTGCATTTCGCATCAAAAATTGTCTCTTTACATCTTTCATTTCTCTACTTTTTACGAGCCTCAACTGAATTTAAAGCCATCACTCAATATTATTAGCTCGGAAGCATACTTGCTTACCTGAGCTAAAGTAAGGGCCACATGTCCTCTTTATTACTCTATTTTTAGTCCTTCGCCACTTCTACCTTTTACATGTCAGCCTTATCCACTATACAATTCATTTTCGACCCGAATAGTGCAGAGTATAATTATGACATGTTGCC